TTTCATTAGGTAGATATATCCATATCTACTATAGTTATCAATAAACGCAATGAAGTACATATAACCCCCTCTGGAAGTTGTACTCTTTAGTCCACATACATCTGTATGTATGAGTCCTAGTAAGCCATTATCCCTCTCACTATGCCCAATAAAAAGTGCATTTATCATCTTTCCTAATAAACAAGATTCGCAAGAAGATGCAAAATCAAACAACCTGAGAAGTTTATCTTGATAGAGCTTAGAAATGTATTTCTCATTTATATGGCCAAGACGACAATGCCATAGGTAGGTTGGATTCAAATCATTTGATTTGATCCTTTTGGTAGTTACGTTATAGATGTCTTCATTACTAGGATCTTCCAGATTTAAAAGATAATGACCAAAATGCAAATCACCATTAGCATAAAAAATGTCATTTCAATAAATAGAACATTTTTCATTCCCAATAATGGAAGTAAAACCATCCTTATCCAAATAAGAAAGAGAAAAAATGTTGCTATTTAAAGCAGGAACATAATAGCAATTGTTTAAAACTAACAAAAGCCCACTGGGCAAAAGTAATTCATAAGTGCCTATAGCTAAAGCAGCAACTCTTGCTCTGTTTCTAACTCATAAGTCCACTTCGTCCTTCATCAACTTTACTGTTTCTGAGACCTTGCACATTTGTACAAATGTGAGAACCACAAGTAGTATCTAATACCCATATAGAAGAAGTAAAAAGGTAAATGTCTATAACATAAACACCTAAAGGAGTAGCCCTGCTATCCTTCTTCTTTTTCAGATCTTCCAGGTAGAGCTTGCAGTTCCTCTTCTAATGACTCAGTTTATTGCAAAAGAAGCAAACTCCTTCCTTTGGAGGCTTTGCCTTCTTGGCTGAAGGCTTAGTTTCGGGCTTGTTTGACTCTTTAGTTTTACCATCTGAGTCTTTACCCTTTTTCTTGCCCTTGCCTTTGCCTTTCTTTTTCATACCCTTTCCTTTCTGAACCATCAAAACAGTGCTAGGCTTTTTTCTTAATGTTTTGCTTAACAGTTTTAAGCATCCTATGCAGTTCAGAAATGAATTTCTCCATGTCATTCATGTTATAGTTCATAATAAAATAGTCATAACTTTTCAAGAGGGAGTTCAAGATCAAATCTATAGCCAACTCTTGGCTTAAAGAAATACAAGCCTCTTAAGGTGATCAATATAGCTCTTCATCTTTAAAATATGAGTGCTAACTGATGCATCTTCAGCTATCTTGCAAGAATACAGGGCCTTTGTGGTTTCATACCTTTCTTGCCTTGCTTGTTGCTAGAATATTTCCTTGAGATGTACAATCATCTCTTGAGCCTCCATGTGTTCCAAATCTCTTTGAAGTTCTGGAACCATGATAGCTAGCATTAGGAATCCTATATCCATCGAGTCATTAGTGTGTTTTGTGTAAGCATCCCTTTGAGCTCTTGGAGCATTGGCCGCGGGCTCCTCAGGAATAGGTTCATCCAGGACATAAGCCTTTCTTTCCTACTTGAGAACAATTCTTAAGTTGTTGAACCAGTCAAGAAAGTTCATCCCATTGAGTTTGTCCTTCTCAAGGACTGATCGTAATGATAATGTAGCAATATTATTAGTTGACATGATTCTACAATAACATACACAAAGTTAATTTTATGTCTCCCACTAAAACTAACAACCCACTAATATGATTAGTGGGCTAAGACCCATATTTCACTTAAATTTAAGATCACTTTGGCAGGACGTTTAAAATTAAGTTATTTAGGTAGGTAACTCGTTTACCAATTATATCAAATGTATCTCTTAGATCTTTATGGGATTCAATCATTATATAATCCTAATGTTTAATCCCATCTAATGCCTTGAGATCCAAAACTATTTTGATAATCTCAATTAAGTCAGACAATAATGAATCTTTATAAGGAGCACCATTACTCACACTTGTCTCACCAAGACAACCCAAATGTGTCCACTTTAGTGGATCTTACATTTGAGTAATCTAGGTTTTGACAAGTATTCATTAATTGACTGTATTATGACTTAAGATTTTGATTAGAGGGCTTGATTTATAATTTAATAATCATGTAAAGTGAAAGCAATTGTATCTCATACAAAATCGTACATATTATAATCTAATCAAAAGCATAATTAAACATGACACAATATGGCTCACCTAACTTATATCCATTCCAAGCCAATGAGAGGACCTCTCTAAGAAGAAAAATTACATCAAGAAACCTCATTTATTCATATGAGGAGATTGAGATGAGAAGAGAATGTACATTCAGAATTTATAGAGAGAGGCATGACACGTAAGCCGTATTTAAAATTTACAACCCTTGTAAAACTAAAGCCATATGCGTCATCATACCCAAACAACTTCAAGGCAAAAAAAAAAACACAACAAATAAACAATTCATGTATAATAAAATGCTATAAATTGTGAATTAGGTTGCACTACGCAGAGTTAGCCATGGCATTTCCACTATTTGAATGAGTTGCTACCTTAGACCCTTTGGATTCATCAATCATATTGACAGCCCAGCCTAAACCATATGAGAACGTGAACGAACAATAATGACATTGAGAACGCATATCATATGGACGAACATTAGTCATATTGAGAACACACATCATATAGCTAAATATTAATTTATTTAAATTCATATAAATTTCAATATATATAAAACGAGTTTATAGATATATATATTTTGAAAACATCACATGAAAAACATATATATAGATTTCGAAAATATCACATATAAATTTCAAAAATCTTAAAGCAATGTTCATCCAAAGAAGTTCATCACGTGAAGATTTAAGAACATAATCAACCAAAACTCAACTTAAATGAAAATTTGACCTGGCTCTGGTACCACTATTGGATAGGGAAGTAAGGGAAAGATTAAAATTTTAAAGTCCTTATTCTGATATGGACAGACCCAACAAACTTGTTTAAGTTAAGGTGGATAAAAAAGTCACCTTTTAATTTTTTGAAGTTGGCGCACGTTTGTATCTCAGAAGCGGACAACATAGATCTGCTCCCTCTATCAGTATCCACACGAACAGCTCTCTAACTCGAATAGCATGCTAGCATTCTCAGCATCTGTTTTTCTTTGAATGTTAATTTTCTTTTCTATAGAGTGTTTCGTGGCTTTTAGAATGTTTTTGCCGTTAGAACTTTTCTAACTCTCTCTACCTTCATAAGGACATCCCTATCTATATATAGTAGATAAATAAGGATTTTCATCTTTCACTTAAAAGCTCACGAAAATTTAATTAAATTTATCTCATAAATTTAATCCATAATATCATATCTAATTTAAATTTATTTTATAAATTTAAATTATAAAACTGACATAATATTCTCTCTTATCATATTAATTATTAAATTTAATATGTCATTTAAAATTAAATTTAAAACTAACATAAGACTTCTAACAAAATTATTTACAAACAAAAATTAATAACTAATTACCTTGTAAGAAAAAAATAAGTTACTATTACCATTTTAATAATAAATAATTTTATATTTGCTCTTGTTTATGAACAATTTTTTAGAGCATCCTTACATGTGATCCTCCCTTCTTTATTCTTGCATTGCTTATTCTTTATTATTATTATTATTATTATTATTATTTGAATTGAAATGGCAAGCTATGCTTGAGATACTCAAACAGTAGCAAAACAAACTGCAAGTAATTAATCATTAGACCCAAGGTCTTCCAAAAGTAGCTGCTGACATCCTTAATGTGGTTCAATGATCATCGTAATATTCATATCAAAGTGATAAGCTGTTTTAGCCATGTCATCTGCATTGTTCACCTAAAACCGATGGTTATGTCTCATTCATTCCCTTGACCTTGACTCAAATAATATGTTGCCAAGTTTCTTGTCACTCTGCTCTTGTCTCATTTAATCCTCCAAAAAATGACAAATTTTACTAAAATATATAAATGATAATTAAATTTTTTTCATAATTTTTTAAAATTTTTAAGTATTTCTTTGACATTAATAATTTTATATTAAATGATAAAATTTCTCAATATTAAAATAAAAAATAATATGTTCATATGAGAAGTTATGATTTTTTATTCAATTTTTATGATTGATAGAATAAAAGTTGTGATTAGTTAAATAAAAGTTTTAACTAGTTATTTTCAGAATTTGAACTTCAATGACAAAAGAAATTTTACTACGAAAGTTGTAAGTTTTTATTCAATTTTTACAATTAATAAAATAAAAATTATGATTATTTAAATAAAAATTGTAATTAATTATTTTTACAATTTGGACTTCAATGATAAAAAAACTTCATGTAGGAAGTTGTAATTTTTTTTAATTTTTACTATTCACATAATTACAATTGTGATTATGTAAAAAAAATTGTAATTGAGATTTATTATTTTTAGAAATTATTTGTCACATAAAGAGAAATTTTATATAAAAAGTCATGCTTTTTTATTTAATTTTTATGATTTAAAGAACAAAAATTGTTATTGTTTAAATAAAAATTGTGATTGAAAAAAATGGAGCCAGATCTTTTCTTATATTTTAAACAATAAGAAATTTAATCATTTAACCTAAATTATTAGCATCAAAAATAAAAAAATTATGACATTTTAAAAAATTTAATTATCATTATTATATTTTGATTAGATTTCATTGTCATTTTCCTTTACGCTTTGTCTAATTTGATTTTGATTTTAAGGGAAAATTGCCGTGACATGGGTTTTTGAGATTACTTACTAATAACAATAATACTTAGAATTTATAAAATAATAATTAATCATGTATAAATATTTTTTTTAGAATTACAATCTTAGTTTTAATTTAGATTTTTCAGTATTATAAGGATGAAATATATTTATTATTATCAGTATAAACAAAATGATATATGTAATATTAAAAGATTAAGTTGCAATTGAAGAAAATATAAATTACAAACACCGGGAGGCTTGAATAAGCGTGGCATTTACCTAAAGCTTGCATACGACATAAACGCGGTCGTGCATTTGCGTATTTTTCTATTTTCCGGATGCAATTTGTTTTCTAAAATGAAACTGGAACGTTGGTGATGTCTATTTGATCGTGGTTGCATTTTCTTTGAGATATTCCCTGTCCGTTTGGATTTGCCTGAATTTCGAAAGAGCAAGCAGCCGGAAGTTCTCTTCCCTTTCCGTTTGGATTTTTGCCTGAACTTCATTTTTCCCGTCGAAGTGCACAGTCACAATCACGCGCTATGTCGTCGCAGTCGAACGATTTTGTCGAAGGTGATGTAAATACTGAATTGGGTGCTTCCTTGATCGTCACTGGCAAGTACGGTCGGCTATGGCGGCGAAGTAGCTTATACATTCGAATCTTCATTTCTCTCACGAGAACAACAACTACAACTACCACAACACATGAATCTGAACAATCACCACATTATACCCCATTACCCACCTCACCATCACCTCCCACTAGAACTTCCTCGGCTAAATCTTCTATTGAGATTAACATTGCCTCTGATAACGAAGAGGATATTGCGTGCGTAGAACAGCGCATCAAGAACAGTATTGCTCGTATCGTGAAGGACAAGGACTTGGAATTGCTTCGTGAGCTCGGGGGAGTCAACCGTGTTCGCTCAGTTTTAATTCATCGTCAATCAGAGGTATGTATTGGATCAACAAGGACATAAATCACTACTGACGACATGCGAGTTTCTGCGTCTTGGTGTCAACGGTGTATGAAGGTGTTTGGGAATTATAGAAAATTATGAAAATTATAATTCATGCGAGCGTTTATTGGCTCGGATGCTGAATCTTGACAGCAAAAACTGCAAATTTTTGCGTTTGCTCCGGCATTGTTGGTTTTGCTAAAACTGGGATTGGTTGATTTGCTTTGCTTGTTCTTGTTACTGTTGCGCTGAACTGTTGACTGTTTTGTTTTTTGGGCTGTTTTGTTGTTATTTTGGTTTTGTTTTGTTTTGTTTGTTTTTTTTTTTTTTTGGTAAGTTTCTTTTGGGTGTTAATTTGTATTGATTGGTTTTTTGAAGTACTTTTATTCGGCTTCGCTTATGAGCGTGTGTACTTACTTTATTTTTGTGATTAATATAATGGACTCTCTCTGGGGGAAAAAAAAAAAAGAAATTGTTGTAATGCTTCGTGAAACTGTTATGGAGGAACCTGCTGTGATCTTGAAGCCTAGTTTGGATGGGGGCAATAAGGTACAAGTGGCATGCAATCAGAGAAGTGGGGACAATGAGCAAGTGTGGGTGCGAAGGAGCAATCGAATACGCAGGCTGCCACTGAAGTTGAGGGAATGAGCGATTATATGATATCATTCTGATTTTTCGTGGCGTGATTGTTCTCTCTCTCTCTATCTGTTATTTTTCTCAAGTGTGCGACTCCTTCCACTCGAGTCTCTGTCCTTCGTTATCGTTTCTTTGTTGATATCAGGTGTTTCGACCCCTATTGTTAGCTCTTTCTTTGTATCAGACCTTCGGCTGTGTTTTAGTGTTGATTTCTTGAGCTTAAACAGTGGTTTCAGTAGCATGAGTTGTGATTTTATTTGCTATTTTTGTTAGAATATTACTCCAGCCATTTTCATCCATTACAGAATGTACAAGTTTTAGGGAACTTTTTGTAGCCTCCTCCCCATGTAGGTCTACGTTGTATCCAATGTCCATACGTGGGCTACCCACGTACAAATCAAATTTGGTCCATTTATTGAATCTACACAGCCAAGAATTGCTTCAAGGTTTGGTTCTTTTCTTCTTGAGAAAGAATTGATTTCTTATTAAGATTCGTTTTCTGGTTAACAGGAGGGCAATATTGATAATGGGAACCATCAAGTGTTGGAGACCACTGACCAAGTTCATGGAAGGAGGCTCTTGTACTGTTTTACGAATAGCTGCAAACGCAATAGTTACACTATTTCGTTACTCATGATCTCAGCCTTGTTGTCCTTGGCCACAGAGATCAAGCAGGAAGGACCTAAATATGGTTGGCATGATAGTGCTGCCATTGTTGTTGCCATAATTATGATTGTCGCTGTCTCTTCAGTGGCAAACTATGGGCGTGAAAGAAAGATGCTAAAATTATCGGAGAAGAAGGGCGAGTTGAAATTTACTGTTGTTAGATGTGAAACCTCCCAAATGGTGGCCATATCTGATATTATGGTTGGTGATATAGTGTGTCTTAAGCGAGGTGATGAGGCTCCGGCTGACGGTTTGCTTCTAAATAATGAACACTCTGTGCAGGATGAGATGTTGGACCCATTTCTCTTGTTTGGCTCCAAAGTATTTTATGGGGGTGAAACTTCGATGCTTGTAACATCAGTTAGAGACGAAAAATCAGTTGAGATGCAGAATTCAGCGGCAAATAGGCCTAAAAAGATTACGCTGTTGGAAAGTCGAATTGAGAAGCCGATTTCTATCATTGATAAAGTTGCCCTTCTTATCTCTACATTGGTTGCGCTTGTGGTGCTCATTCGCCTGCTTAGCAAGAAAAATGGGGACAATAACGGGTTACCAGAAATTAAGGGTAAGGTTTCTGTTGGCTTCCTGATAGAATTGATGGAGAGAATTTTCTTGAAACCGCAAGGAAAAGTTTCCATTTTAACTAGCCTTTTAACTGTTGCAATTATAAGCGTGCAACATGGGGTACCACTTATGGTTACACTTTCTCTCAAATACCAAATTGACAAGGTGGTATCAAATGAAGCTGCAGATCTTCATGATTTATCGTCATGTGCAACAATGGGGTTGGTTACAGTCATCTGCATCGATGCATCTGGTGGGCTAATGTCTAAATTGACGGAGGTTAGTAGAGTTAGGGTTGGAGAGAGAGATTTCAGTCGTGATGGGGCTTCAGAAATTAATGCCGTTGTCTGTGACATACTTCAGCAAGGAGCCAGCGTATCTGTTCTTGCTCCGGAATTTACTCTTTCTCCAGTGTCCAACTCACTTAGTTCTTGGGCAAAAAAAACTTGGGGCGTGAACAGTGAATCTTTTAGTCAGAACTTTACCATCCTTAAGCATAACAAACATAATTATAAGGAAGATGGAAGTGGAGTTTTGGTGAGCAAAATTGGAGACCAAGAACAAGTTCTGCACTTGCACTGGAGTGGGGCAGCACGTACAATACTGGAAATGTGTTCACACTACTATGATATTAATGGGGAATGCTGTGGCATAACAAATCAGAAAGTCCAATTTGAGGAGGTCATTAAAGAAATGGAGGATAGCGGTCTTGAGCCTATAGCGCTTGCTTATCAAAAGACAGAGGCTCAGGAACTTCAGCGAGGTGGACTAATCTTGCTAGCTCTGATAGGTCTTAAACACTCTTCATACCTTGAAGAGACAAAGTTGGCATTGGCAGACCTCAAAAATGATGGTGTCAAGATCAAATTGGTGTCAGAGCAAGACATCATGGCAGTGAGAGCCTTAGCTTGTGAACTAGGAATAGAAGTTCCCGTTGAAGATGGTGTTATTGTTGAAGGAAAAGAAATTCAAAATTTGAATAGCACAGCCAGGTTAAAGAAGTTGGATGAAGCACTGGTAATGGGAGGTTTCTTTCCTAATGACAAGGTTCTCATGATTCAGAGCCTGCAAGATGGAGGCCATGTGGTTGCATTCTTTGGAGCGTTGACAGTAAGTGATGCTGCAGTTCGAGAGGCGGCTGATATAGTCATAGATGATAAGTCTCAGAACCCAGAAGCTGATAGGGAGTGTTCTAATATATCTATCGAACGTTTCAATGCAATAACTATAACTAGGAAGTCTGGTAGATGTCAATATCTCAATACTCAAAAGTTCATTCAACTTCAGCTCACAGCTAGTTTATCCGGGTCATTCATAACCTTGATTGCAGCAATGTGCACTGGACAGTCCCCACTAACGCCCTTCCAATTGATTTGGGTGAACATGATAATGTGCCTTTTGGGAGGCCTGATGATGTTAATGGAGTTAAACATCAAGGAGGATCAGCATGCGAACCAACTAAATAACCGGAAGCAGTCACTCATAAGCCACGAAATCTGGATGGACATCGCAAGTCATGTACTGTATCAGGCTTTTGTTTCCATGATATTTCTTTTTGGAGGGCAAGTTACAGACAGCACAAAACAAGTTAGGACCACCATGATCTTCAACATATTCATGCTATGTCAGGTCTTCAATCAGCTCAACATCTTGGGCCTAATGAAGAAGGGAGTTTTCAAGATTGTTCTTAAGAGCTATTGTTTCTTGGTTACATTAGGAGTGAGTTTGGTTATGCAGGTTCTGGTGATTCAGTATGCAAGGAGCCTAGCAGATTACCTGAGGCTGAATGCAACTCAATGGGCTATCTGCATCGTAGTTAGTGCTCTTTCATGGGTAATTCAATGGCCATTGAAGATGATTCTTAATTGGATGTTTCATCATGCTCATTCTTTCCTCTGTACCATACAAATGTAGAATTAGCACTCACCCACCCGCCAGTGTATTATATGTGCAGTATTGACCATAGAAGCCAAACATTTTGATAGTAATAGATTTAGTGCCCATTTAGATTTCAGATTACATTTAAAGTACATTTAGATGATCCAACTATTTGTTGGGTTTGGCAAAAGCACATTCCAAATGTGGTTTAAATATATTTTTAAAAGTTATCTGAATAGGCCATTAATCTATACAATAAATGTTACTTAGATTTTTATGTAACATCATGTAACATATATATATATACACACACACACACACACTACTTTACACATGGTCTAGCTAGTTAGGTGGTGCAAATTTTAAGGGTGAATATAGATATTTCTTTCACAATATAATCAATCATGCTCTCCATATCAGAAACTTAGCTTGTTAGAAGTTGATTTATTGCTTCACGTATAAATATTGCATTTTTTTTTGTACGTAAATATAAAACAAATATGCTGCTCTGATATCTAGTACTCAAGTCTTGGTGGCAAATTCAAACTTTTTCTACTGTTTTATTATTACTTAACAATCTTTGTTGAATTTCGTTTATCAAAATTATGTAAATGTTTTCTCTATTTGACTACAATGTTAAATTAAACTTTAATTTAAATTTAATGTTTAACTCAATGAAATAATTCTTTTTGATAAATTTGGATGATAAAATTTTATTTTTTAGTTTATTTGTTCATATTTAAAAATTATTTTTAAAATATGCACACATGAAAAAAGATTTTTTTTTTTTTTTGCCTCAACAAAAAGTCGCGGAGTTTTATAATAAAAGAATTAAATGAATTGTATACTTTTTTTCAGAAGGAAAAAAAAAAAAAAGCACTGCATAACTAGGTTTAATTGAGCGTAATCTCAAATCTCAAAGGACAACAAATCAGTCTCTATTGGAACAGGACAAGTCAAAATAATTATTTGCATGTGACCCAAAATGTAAGAAATTGCTTGGACATATAACTCAAAATGTAAGTGTATCGTGTACGCTGAAAAAAACAAAATATGTGAAATTATTATGTATTATATTCCAATATTTTAAGTTTGTTTGTAAACTCGCTTGTATTGATCAAAATATCGAATTAATGTGAACATAAGTTTATCTTAAAAGTTGCAAAAATATGGTTTCAATGAATATCCGTATCCTAAACATAAATTAATAATGGAACTTAGTAAACAATTGATCTTTATAATGATGCGTTAACGTACATGGATTGTTTTCATAACATTTCAGAAGGAAATCACAGTCTCAAAATGTAAATAGGCATATCAACAAAATTTAATAAATGCAAACAAAATTTTAATAATAGGTACTCAAAACATACTTTCTTAAATTGAAGAATCAAATATAAGTTACAGAGAAGTAAATTAATTATTTACAAATCTCAATTATTTATAATTGATTGATTTGAAATCTTATTATAATTCTTTCCACTTGAAATTGTACTTTTTTTTAATTAGTTATATGTATATTTGCATTTATATTGCATGATTAAATACTAAATGTTAATATTTTAAGTGAGATTCAAATATTGTTTTTGTTTTTATTTTTTTATTTTTTTGGTTTTTTAACCTTGTGTGGCTCCCATGGGTGCTAGGAAAGCAATGAGGAAGCAGGTCTTGATATACACGTGGCACAAGGAGAGCCAGTTTCCGAACCCAAAAAATCAGCAAGGGAATCCACATCCAACACAGCCACCAATGGGAAGGTGCTGAGCTGTACAAATCCTCATCCACAATATCACATGAAATCTTCCTCTCTTCTATAAAACTTTACTTGAACGCTTCATTCTTCTCAGAACAGAGCACCAACACAGATCATATCATCGTCGCCATGGCCACCTCTGCCATCCAACAATCAGCATTTGTCGGACAGACTGCATTGAAGCAGGCAAACGAGCTTGTCCGCAAGGCTGGTGCCTCCGGCAATGGCCGCTTCACCATGCGCCGCACCGTCAAGAGCGCTCCTCAGAGCATCTGGTAATACTAATAACTCTCTCTTTTCATTTACGCTCCTCAATTGTATTCCCATGAATTTGAATTCACGTTCTCAAAAACAGGTACGGACCTGACCGTCCCAAGTACTTGGGTCCCTTCTCCGAGCAAATTCCATCGTACCTGACCGGTGAATTTCCCGGCGACTACGGGTGGGACACCGCCGGATTATCGGCAGACCCCGAGACCTTTGCGAGAAACCGTGAGCTGGAAGTGATTCACTGCAGATGGGCCATGCTCGGCGCTCTGGGATGCGTCTTCCCTGAAATCCTAGAGAAGAACGGCGTCAAGTTCGGCGAGGCAGTGTGGTTCAAGGCCGGCGCCCAGATCTTCTCCGAGGGCGGGCTCGATTATCTTGGCAACCCAAACCTCATCCACGCTCAGAGCATCCTCGCCATCTGGGCCTGTCAGGTAATTAAAGATCATATTGCCCGAGCTGTGGTCGATCAGTTGAATTTAAGCAGGTTAATGTGATAGACTGAGTTGAATCGATCTCTGGTGTGTGTTTCAGGTGGTGCTCATGGGATTCGTTGAAGGGTACAGGGTTGGTGGAGGACCTCTCGGAGAAGGGCTTGACCCGATCTACCCAGGAGGTGCTTTTGACCCGCTTGGTCTGGCCGACGACCCGGATGCATTTGCAGAGTTGAAGGTGAAGGAAATCAAGAATGGGCGATTAGCAATGTTCTCCATGTTTGGATTCTTCGTTCAGGCCATCGTCACCGGCAAGGGTCCTATCCAAAACCTTTATGATCACGTTGCCGATCCTGTTGCCAACAACGCTTGGGCTTATGCCACTAACTTCGTCCCCGGACAATGAAGATAGATAGATTCGCCCCTCAATTCTTCTGCTACAATTACTAATCGTGTAATGTAATCACACCTATCACTAGTTGCGTAATTACCCTAGCAGAAGAATCTGTACCAGAGTGGTTTCGTATTATTAGTGGAATTTACATGTTGAATATTTTTTTTCATGAGGTGCATGTTCTTTAGCAATGAGCAACATAACAATAATCAAGCATGAAGCTTAAACCAGTATGTGGAAATATCTGCAGATAGATGCCAGAAGTCACAGCAAGAACAAGATGGGTTAGACAAATACGCACTAAAATTGCACACAAACTTGGAGCCCAATTTGAATCCAAAGCTTCTCCCATGAGCACAAGTTGCACATCCCGAATGACTTGTCTATTGCGTACAAGGCTTCTCGATTCCAACTCACGGTGACGTCTGTCTGTGGGTTTGTGACACAGTTTCTCAATGGCGCACCAATATTGTTGACACAAGTTTAAAGTGAAAACTCACCCAAAAAACTATCCTATCAGGTTAAAAAACCTTTTAAATTTATAAACCCCGATCTGTGACTCATTACAGCGTCCATGTTGAATTTGAGTTCCTTAAGGTACATCCACGAGCTCCATGCATATCTTTGAACAATTTCTTCGCTGAATTCTCTGTAAGCTTGAGTATATATGCACAGCTCCCTTAACTTATGACATGTCCAAAGAGGCCAACAGGTTTTTCCCGCAACTTTATCAAAGCCAGTTGTTGAATAACGACCATATTTAGAAATTATTTATTTCTAACGATTTCGAGTAAGTGTTGAATGCTTCAATGGATATTTCTAAATTCCAGTGTCAAATACTTAAACTCAATCCTTAGGAATGAATGGTTTTTTAAGGACGCCAAGGGGTCGTTCCAGCAACTTTGTCAAGAACAGTTGTTGAATAACGACCATATTTAGAAATTATTTATTTCAAATGATTTCGAGTAACTGTTAAATGCTTCAATGGATATATCTAGTGTTAAATACTTAAACATAGGCCTTAGGAATAAAAGGTTTTTTAATTTTCTCCTTGGAATAATTTTCCCTTAGCCTGTTCAATGTCTTGCTTTAATTATGATTCTTAGCCTTTAGCTTTTTAATGGGTGACAAATACCTAATATTTTAAATTATTTGTTATAGTAATTTCATTCCTAAAATAATTAGCACATAGTATATTTTTTCTTGATGTTAAATACTCAATCGTTAACTATTAAAATACCAATTAGGATTTAAGTTTAATAAAAAATATCACCTATCATATCAAATGAAATCAAATTAAGGTGCAATTTTGTTAAGGATAGACTTACCTGATAGCTTGAGGGGGCAGAAGCCCCGACAAGGAGGAAAAAAAATTGTATAAAATGATCAAAAAAATTTCTTTGTCCCCCATAAAAAAATTGCCCTCTATTGAAAGGGTAAAAATCATTTGCCTCCTTAAAAATTTCACTTATCTCCCTAAAAATTTAACTCAAATCTAACCTATATGTTATAATTTCAAATAATGATATAGTATGAGAATTAAGGAATGCTATTTTTTGATTTGTTTAAGTAAAAAAATTGTCACAAAAAATCTTCTACTAAACAAGTGTGGTTAAATTTTATTCATATTAGATAGTTTTATGCTTTATACCTTATTATCTAATAATTATACAACAATTTTTGTTCCTCTAATTTAATTTAATAAATATTTAAAATTATATTTTTTAAAAAAATATTTATCTGAAGTAAAATTTTTGCCTTGGCCTATCTATTTAATTTTTCTAAGTCTGTCACTAGTTTTAATTATTTTAGAGATAAAATTGCTATAAAACAAATAGTTTAGGGCATTGGTGCTTCTTAAAAAATAGTTTATGTATTAAAATGTACCTTAACTTAGATTTATTTGACATGACATGTGTCATTTTTAGTCAAATTTAAATTTTAGTCAATATTTATAATAGTTAATGTTGGGGTATTTAACGTCGGGGATAAATATATTATGTTTTAATTACTTTATATGTAAAATTATTATGACAAATAGTTTAAAATAATAAGTGTTCCTTAGAGAATAGTTAAGAACAAAAATGCATTTTAACTCTTTTTTAAACTACAATGACCATTTTACGTATAATTTTTTTTTTCAAAGAAGGTTAAAATAAGAATGTTAAACTGCATAACAACTATTTTCAAAATTTAAAATATTTCAACCATAAATATCTTAATTAAATTTATCTGCAAGGCGTGAGAGAAGCATTTAGAAGGTTGCAGTATGCTAGTGGGGTGAGAAGGCTAATCTGTGATGTATTCAGCACCTATCTTTAATCAATTTTTATGGAAAACTGTCTTTATAAATAATAAAATTAAAATTTGTCTCATCAGGGCCTTATATAGTAAACTGTACACTGACCATAAATTGCGAATGGTTTTGCCTCCTATAAATTTATTTGATATATATCTGTGTATGTAACACTCTAATTTTTACATATAAAATTTAAAATAAATTAAAATATGATTTATTATGTAAATTGAGGCTTAAGATAACATAATTTACGTGTCCGAGGCATAGAGGCATATAGGATTATAATTTAATGAAATAAAGTATGAAATTGGAGAAAATTTTGATGAAGATAAATTGAATCTAATTATATTCTTAAAGCACCGAATTAGTTTTTTGAGGAAGAAGTATAAAAGTAATTGTAAACAAATATTTATTAGCACTGATTTGAATTTAATGAATTTTTTCCATGGTTATTGAAATTTATCATATAATTATTCGAGTAAAAAGAACCTTACTAAAATGGGTTATATATTAAGTAGAATTCAATATAAGTATGTAAATTATTTTCATTTAAGAAATTATGATTATACAAATATTAAAAAAATTGTGTTTGAATAAAATTCATAAGCTCAATCTAGTCCTTTAGATTTTTGAGTTAAAAAAAATTAATATATATATATATATATATATGCACACATTAATTTTAAGGATTGTTGTTTAAGAAGGAAAATAAAAAACAGAGAGGCATGGTGATGCTAACACGTGGATCTTGGCCCACTTTACTCTTCCTTCAAATATATACTCTTTCCATTTTTTATTATTAGAAAAACTATCAATTTTCACTTATATTTTTTATAAATAAAATTACACATTTTAATAAGCATTTAAATAAATATGGGCCTAATAAACAAAGAATTATAATCTAAGGTGAGTTGAGCAACTGAAAAATTAGGTCTAATAAGTGATCCAAACAAAAGAACTGGTCCATACATAACAGTTAGATAAACATGAACCCTCGAATCCCTTAAGTCTCGGAGCCATTACTTAGATTGTTAGTATCATAACCTTCACAAGCCCTGAATCTCATGAAGACATGACCATTATTCACGAATATCTCAGAGACACAGGTTAGTTGATGAATAATGAAACGCATTGTGAATGGATTGTGCCATGAATTTTGTAGACTGTGCATAAGGAATCCTTGATATTTCTTGAGTACACTATCGATTCCATGGAAGTAACCATCGTAGCTTAGTCATTATAAAAAGAGGAAAAAACCACAGAAAAAGAATAACAATACTAATCTAAATATTGAGATTTTCTACTTCTGTAGCTCTTAGTTTCATCAGATAGCTTTTATGAAGCTTTAATTTTGTTTTAGTCCTATAATCTTTAACACTTCGTAATCCTTTAGCATTAATCAAACACTTGTTATTTTACTCTTGTGTATCTTTTATATCTGAGTAAACTATAATAAGGAAACTCGGGGATCCTTTGTTATCAATTGAAACTCAATATCGTTAGCACACTTGGTAATTTTATTGTTTTCGACAAACAAGGTTCAATTCTTTTCTACTATTATAAACTCTTTTTTACCATGATAAGTTTTCTAAAAAAAAGAAAAAGAAGTTTTATCTTTAATTACATTTATGATAGGTTTTAATAAATATTGTTTTAAATAAGTAGAGTGTTACAATATATATAGATTTTGCTCTAATATTTGTAAGTTATTAATAAAATCTAAAATTACAGTATGTCTAGTAAACATATCTATTGTTCAGCCTTACAAAAAGAAATTAAAATTAAACTCTCATAAAAGGATAAAATTGATCTCTTTTTCTTTCATCACCAGCAAAACAATTGATATAAACCTAAGACTTTGTTAGGTTGTGTATGGCAAGTGGTTCATGTTAGAGCTGCACAAAAGATTGGATGTGACTAAATTTCAACCTAACCTAGAGTCTGGTCCTTTTTAAAAAAAGGACTGGGTTAGACAACCTGTAGTCCAGTTTGGTCCTGTGATAATCTAGAGATTAACAAGACCGAATTTGGTCCATAGAACTAGAAGATTGGTCCTGTTAGTCCGGTACTCATTTGGCCTTGTTCTTTTCTTTTTTTCTCTATAATAAGCAATAATCCATTTCAACCTAATAAACTCAATTAAGATAATAAAAATACTTATAATCATAATAAATCCATAATGATTTCTAACATCAAGAAAAAAAATATTTTAATTACAATCTAAACTCTAAATGATTTAAATCTAACTTCAATAAAAACACTCAATAAAGTTCAACACTACATTATATCTGTCATGTAATCATCTCTTTAGCTTCAACAGAAACAAACTCAACAAATTTTTAAATAATTATCTCCTTAGAATTAATAACACTTGAAGCATCTATCAAAAATAAATTATATATACATATATAAAGTGATTAGTAATTGTAAAAATGTAATATATAAATTATATGATGCAATATACAAATGTGATTGATAGAGGTGGGCTGGTGGCGCACCGGAGGAGGGTAGGGGCTAAGGCTTCGGCGCACTGAAGAAATTGAGATTGAGAGCAAAGTCAAGTGAATGGTTGAATGCTGTGGAGCAAGCTGTACAATAGTGTTGAGTTTTTTTTTAGTCAGAGTGTAAAGTGTAAGGAAGGATTAAGACTTTTTTTTTCGCTAGAAGATTAAAACTTATTAATTGATAATTTATAAATTAATTTTAATTATATTAAAATAATTATATTTGCACAGCCCTAGTTCATGTAGTTTGTGTGGTGCATGAGCCTCGACGTCTGTACTCTCTCTGAATGAACATACAGGTCCTAATCATTGATGGCAATCACCACAAAAATATTCCTCCCCCTACCTGTTTGTCTTTCCTAAACA